ATGTACCCTTCCAGTTTCAGATCGAAGGGAGATTAAAAAGATCTGGGTAGCTATACTGATGCCCCAGACCAGTACATCCAAGTCTTTATCTCTGTGATCCAAACCTTTGCATTGGCATGAAAGGATGTTATGCTTCTACTAGACCAGACTCCTTCCTCATTAGAAAAGCAACGGGTCCTGGCCCAGGCCAGTAAGGTTGGGGACGATTTCCATCTACAGTGAGCTCCAAACCCCATGGCACCTGGAAATGAGGAAATGAATGTGCCTATACCCACAGGGGCACAGGCAGTCCCCTTGGCAGATCCACATTGGGATCAAAATGGTGGGGAGGATGAATGGTGTTGACGTCACTTCATCCATCTTACAGTGGAAAAGCAAAAAAGGACCAAAGTCAAACCTCTAAACTATTCCCAGGTGACTGTAGTAAAACAAGGCTCTGAAGAAAACCCCCTTACCTTTCTATAGCATCTGAAGGATGCTATCAGAAAGCATACCACAGCGGGCCCAGAGTCACAGGTGGGAGAGGTTCTCCTCAAAGATAAATTCTAACTCAGTCAGCCCCAGATATCTGTAGATAACTCCAAAAGTCTGTGGCTGAAGGGGAAAATCACTGGACAACTAATGCAGCTAGCCATGTCTGTATACTATAACTGGGACATCACTAAAAAGAAAGAAGAGGATAAAAAAAACCACTGTGACCTCATTGCAGCTCTCAGGGAGTGCCCCACAGGATGGAGGCCTACATCCCAAGCCTGCTACCATTGTGGACAGGAGGGGCACTTGTGCAGAGAATGCCCAAAGGGGGACAGCCCGGGAGACAGCCCCACCCCCACCAGGACCGTGCCCTCTCTGCAAAGGTAACCACTGGAGGTCTAAGTGCCCCGTCTCCAGATGGAAGGTGGGGTGTCACCTCCTATGGATTGATGGGTCCTGGGGCCTCCTGTCCAGGCTCAATGTTGAGGGGCCTTGGATATCCATAATGGTAGAGAAGTGAAAGGTCATTTTCCTCCTAGATGGTGGAGCCTGTTTCTCTGTCTTACCATTCTCTCCTGGTCCCTGGTACAATGACAAGTTTATTGTTTGGGGCAGATCTGGCCAGCACCTAGGGCATTACTTTACCTGGCCTATGGCCTGCTCTTGTCACTCTTTCCTCATAGTTCCTGAGGCTCCAGTGCCCCTGCTGGAACATGATTTACTATCTTAACTAAAGGCTCAAATTCTCCTCCCCCAGGTGACTAGCTCTGCTGCCCCCTCCTTCAGGACAAGTGTGTAGGGTGAGCCAGAACAGCACCCCAATTCAAATAAAGCTCCAAGATCCCTCACAGTTTCCGCATCAAAAACAGTATCCCCTCAAGCCTGAGGAATCACAAGGCCTCTTACCTATCAGAAATTCCTTATAAAAACAAGGGCTGCTAATTAGTTGCTCCAGCTCTTACAATACTCCTATTCTTGATGTCCGTAAGGGGCCAGACAAATGGAGGTTGGTTCAAGACTTCCAGCTCATTAATGAAGCAGTGTTCCCCTCCACCTGACTGTTCCCAATCCCTCTACTCTATTGGCTCAAACACCCTCAAAAGCCCAATATTACTCTGTACTAGATTTAAAGGACGCTTTCTTTTGCATTCCTCTGCATCCTGACAGTCAGCCCCTGTTTGCCTTTGAAGATCCCACTAACCCTTCAGAGCAACTGACTTGGACAGTTTTGCCACAAGGGTTTAGAGACAGCCCTCATCTTTTTGGACAGGCCCTAACCAGCGACTTGTTAGGTTGGCACTACCCAGAGGCCACCCTTCTTCAATATGGTGATGACTGACTTCTGTGCAGAGCCACAGAGCCCTCATCTGCAGGGCAACTGAGTCCTTTTAAACTTTCTGGCCTCCTGGAGATACAATGTCCCTAAGGAAAAGGCTCAATTATGCCTCCCTCAGGTCACCTACCTAGGTGTGGTCTTAAAGGGACAGACTCACTTCCTCAGTCACGAGTGAATCAACAAAATCCTCCATTTCCCACTCCCCCAGACCATAAAGCAGCTTAGAGCTTTCTTGGGAGTAACAGGATTTTGCAGAACCTGAATCCCTAGATATGCAGCCCTTGCCAGATCCCTTTTTATGCTCCTACTAATATTCCTATTTGGGCCTTGCATAATAAATGCTGTCTCCAGATTCATATCTCGACAGGTCCAACGGATCAAACTCCAGCTCTTAGTCAAGGAATACTCACCTCTGCCTACACATAAGTCCTCCATCCTGTTCTTTGGGGCCCCTGGAGACTACACATGTAAACCCCTGAGACAAGTACCATCACACCTGCCCCCCACCTCGTTGCCCCATTGCTAGCAGGAAGCAGATAGAAGAGTCATCGCCCCTCTCCCCAACAGCAGTTGGGTACTTGTCTCAGGGGGATTTGTTGGGTCTGGGGACCTAAGGCAGATGAGTGAGTAGCCCATCCCCCATGGAGAGGACTGGGATTCCTGCATCCTGAGGAGTTGTAAATCTGCATTTCTGCACCCTGAAGAGGAAATACTGGGTCTGATAGATCTGCCAGAGGGCTGATAAGCAAAATGCTCTCAAGATTGTTCCCCACCTCCCCAAATTAAGGGGCAAACAGACCAGTTCACCTGAGAAAGCCCGTGAACCCATGGCCAATGAGAAAAACCCACCCAACGCAGAGCTAGAACGTCCATAAAAACCCCAGCCTTCGCCTGAGCAGCGAGCGACCGGCTTCCGGGCTCCGCTGCACTGCTCTAGCTGTAGCCTTTCCTTTCTCTCTAATAAATCCCACTTTATACACCAGCTTTGGATCACAAGTCAATCAGCTGCCTGATTCTCTGGCTTGTGAAGGCAAGGACCCTCGGTACTGGCACGTAACACTTCAAACCAGCACATAGCATAGACCTCCCTATTGCTTCCCTGGGCTCTCCTGATTTTTTTGTGACTTGCTTCCTTGGGTAGTAGGGAGCTACAGAGTGTCCTGCAGGGCAGGGCAGGTCCTCACATGGACACGGTAATGGCAGTCCCTGCTCTTTGTGGTGTTCATGGAGGGAGGATGGCAATAAGGTGACAATCTTTTCTAGTCCCCCAGGGTAACCAAGGAAAGAGCTAGAAAGAAACACCTGAGAGCAAGCCTACTTGCCGGCCCTTCCCCCATAGCTGAGGCTCCAAAGAGGCCTCTTTTTACCCCCGTCTGTGTTCCTGCATTCCTTTGGGGTGCAGGGTGACTCACAATGGTAATTCTATGCCTTCTTTTGTCAAAGCCCGGTTGCCTCAGTGCTCATGTAAGGAAATGACACAGCCCTGCTCTCCAAGGTCGGGCTTGAGTCACCGGTGAGCCATGCCGGGTAGTTAAGTGCTGCTCCCAGTTGCACTGACCCTGAGCCATGTGGCACCTGACCAAGTTGCTGACATCTCCTTCCTCACCGACCCTAACCCTGATCCCTGTTTACTATTTTCTCCAGGCTTTGGCTTTTCTTCTGCTCTCTGTCCAGAACCTTCTCAGTGAATGGCTGAGCCATCCTTTCCTCCAGGAAGCCCTCTTGGATTGCTGGACTGGACAATGCTCCCTCTGCTCCCCCCCACTCCCGGCCCAGGCTTCCCTGTCTCAGCCCTGCCCACCCCCAGTTACCACTCTAGGAATGGCTCTGTGTCTTGGGAGCAAGCCCAGAGCTGTGACGAATAGGAAGTTGTCATTTTCACATTTATGGTTGCCTAATTTTCCCATCTAATAATAGCACTCACTTTCCAGTCCCTTTGGGCACCACAGCCAAATATCATTCTCTCCAGGCCCGGGTCTTTTTGTTCTTCATGGTCTTAATATGTTCTCCAGTACAATGGACATCTCCTCCAGGAAGCCCACCTGGACCTCAGGCTGCATTGGATTACCCTCAGAGCTCCTGATCCCAGCTTCCCCTAGACTCTGGGCACCAGGAGGGCAGGTCACCTCTGCATCTCTGCAGGGCCGCACACAAGCCAGGTACAGCAGGAAAATTGTCCAGTGAGAAAGTGAATGACTGGCTATTATTTGACGTCCGATTGCTCTGTGCCCTTCAGTCCTTTTCCACATAAAATTACTGTAAGGCCCAACTCAAATTAGCCTAACCTACTCCATTTTGCACAGGACTCCACCTTGTCTGGCAGGAAGGCTATTTTACTGTGCTTCTGCAGAAACTTTTTCTGAACTCCAGGGGACCCACTTGCGTCTTGTTGACAACACATTTGACCCCATGATGTCATAGAAAAGATTACACAAGCCGGCCCACAACCACCCTAGCAAAGCACTGAGAAAGTGACGGTCCCAGATGCTAGCTGAACCAAAAAAAAAAGCCAAAATGTCATCAGCACATTCCTTCTGCACCTCAAATGCTTAGAAACCCCACCAACCTCACTTGGGGCTGATACTGCTTAAGAGCGGCCCCTTTCCTCCCTTGCAAAGGGGAGAACATTTTGCTTCTGCTTCAATTCTTGGTTTTTTTTTTGTGAAATCTTTCACGCCCTGTGCACTGGCCTCATGGACCTAAGAATTAGGTTCCACAATTATGTTGTCAGTGCTGAAAATTTGAAAAATTCTTACTCATGAGACCAGGGGAGAGGCTCAAGGGGTAGAGCACCTGCCTAGTGAGTGCAAGGCCCTGAGTTCAAATCCCAGTACTGTACAGAGAAAAGGAAAATCTTACTCATGATGGGTTTGTGCGTGTGTGTGTGAGAGAAAGAGGGTGGGGAGAGAGAGAGGGAGAGAGAGAGAGAGAGAGAGAGAGAGAGAGAGAGAGAGAGAGAGATGAGATGAGCAGAGGCTTATTTTGGGGGGTGCAACTGCGGGGGCCCAACCCAGGCAAGTGTTGACTGCGTGGGATTTTTTCATGAGCTGGAGTGAATGAGAGGAAGAGGGGAGGCGAGAGCACGTGCAAACACCCAGTGGCAGGGGGGAAGTGGGTGCAACTGGAAAAGGTTCAGTGGGTTCACTGAACGTCTTCCTCTATTTCTAGTCACTCAGCTAGATGACATTTCTCAGGGGGGTCTCACGATTATGTGTGGTATCAGGGCCACAGGCTGGAAGAAGTCCGGGTCCCCAGATGGTACACGGACCAGAGTCTCTTCCAGGTACCTGCACTGCACTAGGCAGGTGTGAGACACCTGACACCTTGGAAATAACGGTCACAGTGCGCCATCAAGACACACTGACACAGGCAGGTGTGTCTGGAGAAGAGGAGGAAGCAGGGGGAGGGAGGAAGGGAACAGACCAAGTTCTGGCCAATGGACTGGGAGAGGAGGTGATGTGAACAACTTCTGGGTCATGCCCTCCAAGGAAGGCGAGAGCCCTTTCCCATAATTCCCGCTTCCTGCAGGCTGGGGTGGGGTGGTGGTCTTTGTCATGTTGTCATCCTCAGGAGGGCGGAGCCACAGGCAAAGGAGCCTCACTCTCTGCATGACGTCATCAAGCAGAGCCTCTATTTCCCTGGCACTGTGGTTTTAATCACTCATTCATTCAACAAACACTTATTTTTAGTTAAAAAATTAAAAAGTTTCCTTTCTTCTCTCTCTTTCTCTTTTTGCAGCACTGGGGATTGAAGGGATTCACGCTTCCTAGGCAGTGAGCTACCACTTGAGCCACACCCCCGGCCCTCAAGAAACATGTATTAAACACCTACTGTATGTCAAGGTCACAGAGCTGACAGTCTCATGGTTGAGATAAGTATTAAGTAATCACATAGGTAAATATTTAATGACATAAATGACGAGTGGCCTAAAAAACATGCTAGGAGAGAGCTTAAACATGGGATGGACTTTTTCTTTTTTTGGTGGGACTGGGATTTGAACTCAGGGCTTGGAGCTTGCAAAGCAGGTGCTCTACCACTTGAGCCACGTCTCCAGCCCCAGGGGATGGAGTTTATGAAGGGGTGGATAGGAGGGCCCTGCAAAGACATTTGCACGGTATTTCTGGGAAGGGGGACATCACTATGACTTGGTAGCTGTCCCTACAGGGACGTGGTTCAAGTGGTAGGGCCCCACCTAGCAAGCACGAGGCCCTGGGCGCAAATCCCACCACCACCAAAAGACATACGCAAAAAACCAAGCAATCCCAGAAAAGGGCAAAGGGTACTGTTGAGTCCTTGGCTAGGGGACAACTTGGCTGGTGGCCAAGGCATTGTTCGCAGTGTCACCTCTGAGATGCAGCCAGACCCCATCCGTTTTGCACTCAGGAAGTGACTAACTTCTTCTCTACAGAGGAAGGAGGTGGGGCAGGCAGGTGGTGGATGATGGCGGACAATTGTTAAAAGCCTTCCAAGGAAGTCTGGACGCTTGGACAGACCACGGCAAAGCCCCACAACGGCCACATGGTCAGCAATCTACACATACGGGTGCCAGGGGATTTACTGTTAGGATTTTTTCACAATTAGGACTCTGAGCTGCATTGTCCAACATAACAACCACTAGTCACTAGTGGCTATTTACTATAAAATTAAAAAAAACTAAGCCCAGTGTGGTGGTCCATGCCTGTAATCCCAGTGCTCAGGAGGCTGAGGTAGGAGGATTTTGAGTTCCAGGTACAATTGGGCAGAAAGTTTGCTAGACACCATCTCAATCAATAGCTGAGCGTAGTGAGGGGTGCCTGTCACCCCAGCTGCATGGGAGGCTAGGACTGATGTATGAGACTGGCCTGGGTAAGAAAATCGAGACCCTACCTGAAAAATAACTAAAGCAAAAAGGACTGGCGGAGTGGCTCAAGTGGTAGAGAGCTTGCCTAGCAAGCTCAAGGCCCTGAGTTCAAACCCCAATACTGCCAAAAAACCAAGCAAACAAAAAGCCTTGAACTCAGGTCTGCTACCTTCTGGTGAGGCACCATGCTGTGTGGTCCTAGAGGCACTGAATGTTAGGCGTCTCCAGGGAAGGGGTTCTAAACTCCATCTTGGTTTTCTGTTTTGGTTCACAGACTCCCAGCTGCCTGTAGAAGATGCACTTTGGGGTCTGCCCAGCGTCTGAGGCAAAAATCCCCACCCAAGTTTCTGAGCACTGAGGCTGAGCCCTGGAGCTCAGCTGTGGCCAACTTGGGGGGACGATTTGGGTGTCCACACTTCAGCTGCACACTGGTCATCTCTATCGGTCAGTCCTGTAGTGCAGAGAGAGAGAGAGAGAGAGAGAGAGAGAGAGAGAGAGAGAGAGAGAGAGAGAGTCAGAGTCACTGGCATGCAAGGCACATTACACACAGTGAAGGCCTGACCCTAGGATATTTGGAGGTGATGACGAGGTCTTCAGAGATAATAATGTCACACAAGGTCATATGCTGCTTTCTCTGGAGCCTTTCCTGAGCTGCTTGAGTGGCACCCCCCTCCACAATCCCTGTCCCTTCCTGTGGGTGTCCCCAGTGGGGCTGTGTGTAGAGGGATGGGCTGCAGCACTTAGCAGGGCCACCAGGCCTGGCGCTGTCCTTAGTACTCTGCAGGCGGTATTAATATGGTCCCATTTTGCAGATGGGCAAATAATGACTTGCCCGTGGCCTCTCTGCTGGTGAGAACCAAGGTGGGATGTGAGTTCTGCAGCCCTGAACCCTCGCCTTCTCCCGCCTCTTTGGCAGTACTGGGGTTTGTTTGAACTCAGGGCTTTGTGCTTGCTAGGTAAGAGTCTACCACTTGAGTCACCTGCCCGGCCCGTTTTACTTTTTTTTTAGAGAGGGTCTCTCGCATCTCCCATACTCCTTGCCCAGGTCTGCCTGAACCGTGATCCTTCTTTTCATGCCTCCCATATCGCTGGGTTGACAGGTGCATGCCACAATGCTGGGGTAACTGGTTAAGTGGGGTCTCACTAACTTTTTGCCCAGGTTGGTCTCCCTGGCTCCTGAGTAGCTGGCATTGCAGGTGTGAGTTACCACACCCGGCAGTTGGATGGCCTTGACGCAGAGTGACCTCTGGATCTGGTGCACAGGTGTGAGGGCAGAGGTACCTTAGGCTCTGGACAAGGTAGAAGCAAGCAGCTCCAACTAGCGTTAGGCCTCCCACAGTGGCGGCCACGACAAGGCCCATGGCAGATCCTCCTTCTAGGGACGGGGTGGGGTCTGGCTCCATGGGCTCAGCAGCTGTGGGAGCCACTGTGGGTTCTGGGAACCAAGGAATGGAGAGATTGAGGGAGGTGCCCTCCTCCCTCCATGTGGCCTCAGGCTCCCACCCGGGCCTCTTCCTCCCACAGCTCAGCATCCTGCTGTAGCCCCAGTACCCTGGGGCAGAAGCTGGTCTCTCACTTTGGCTTTGTCCCCTCCCTTGCCTTTATGACCGGGTTCTACCCTCACCCCACTTTCTTTTTTTCTCTTTTCTTTTCTTTCTTTTTGGTGGAACCCAGGGCCTTGTGCATGCTAGGTAAGCACTGTACCACTGAGCCACACCCCCAGCCCCTGGTCTGCATAATTCTTCTCTCCTAAGACCAGCTCAGATACTCCCTCCTCCAGGAAGCCCTCCCGGATCCCCAGGGTGGGTTGTGTCCCACAGGACCTGGATTCCAGCACGCAGCCCTGCCAGTCCTGGTCATCAGTATCTGTGGATGTCTCTCACTGGCTCCCAGTTGTGGGATAGCACGGTTGGGGCTGTCACGGTCACCAGACTGTCCCCAGCAGGGTGCAGTATGGGCTGGGCACAGAGTGGTTGTCCAGTGAACATTTCCTGGCTGGTTGATGGACTTGGAAGTATTGTGTGGAACGTATCAGGGTCACCAGTGCTAGAAGATTTTAAGTTTTCAGTTATCCCTGTGAATAAATTCAAAACAAAACCCTGACTCTGCTGGGCACCCTGGCTGGGCAGATGAAGCCCCTTACCCCATCCTGTTCTGCTCCATCCAGCTCCAGGTCTTTGCTCCTGCCCCAAATACCTTCCCGCTTCTCCTTCCTTCTCCTCCCCTCCCTTTTCTTTCTTCATTTTTGCTTTTCTGGTGGATGAACATAGGGTAGGCCAGTGCTCTACTGCTTGAGCCACACCCCAGCCCTTCTATTTGTATTTTGTCTTTGAGAGTGGGTCTTGCTGACTTTGCCTCAGCCAGCCTTGAACTCAAGATTCTGCCGTCCGCCTCCTGAGTAGCTGAGATTACAGGCATGCACAACCACACTGGGCTTGAAACCAGGTTGGACAGGCTCTCAAATCATTTCTCTGATTCCAACAAACTGCTGTTCTAGCTATTACCTCCTTGGGGCTTCATATTCACTATTGTGTGTGGTAAAACCCCACAATAATAATAATAATAATAATAATAATTAATAATAATCACAATGCTAGTGTAACAATGGTACCCATCACTAGCATCTGGTAGTGCTGTTCCCTGCTTGTCTCTTTGTACACTTTGGAGTGGGTGCTACTATTTTTCCAATTTTTTTGTTTTGTTTTTGAGACAGGATCTTACTATGTAGCCTAGGCTGGCCTCAAACTCACAATCCTCCTGCCTCAACCCCCCAAGTGCTAGGATTTCAGGTATGAACCACCACACCCAGCTATTTCCCCCATTTTCTAGATGAGGCACAGAGAAGTTAAGACACTGGTTCAAAGTCACACAGCCAGAAAGAGGCCAGAATTCAAATTCCAAAAGCTGTTCCTTGAACCATTCCTTATACGATGGCCTGCATGTTTTCCAGGTGTGTGCTCAGTCTCAGAGCTGGAGAGGGTGGAGCCGAGACGCAGGTAATCGAGTCCAGACTGAGCCAGGCTTTTGTTGCAGTAACATCTTTGAGCCTCAGTCTCTCATCTATAAAGTGGATTAACAAGCCTCAGCCCTCCAGGTGGAGGGAAGATGAGATGACATTTTGGCCACAAAGCGCCTTGCAGAGGTGGCTCTGTGGCAGACTTGTGAGAGAGCAGAGGTCTTGGGTATGGGGAAGGGGATCTCACGTGGCAATGACACCATCACAGGCTCAGAGACCAGCTGCTCCTCGCTGTTTGGAGCCGTGCACCTGTACATGCCCAGTTGCTCCAAGGACAATTGGTGGATGAACAGCTTCTCCCCGGCCCCACACAGCCTCCCATCGAGGGTCCAGCTCAGCATGGGCTCGGGGCTCATTGTTGTCACCCATTGCAGGATCACTGAATAGCTGAGGTCGCTGTAGATCACACCCTGGGAAGCCTCTGGGAATGTCACCAGTGACATTTGGCTGGGGCTGTCTGTGTGAACAGAAGCAAGTGCAAGGCTACTGGGTGGAGTCCTCCCAGGATGCTGGTGTCTCTCCTGCCCACCATGGAGGCATTCCATCCACCCACCATCCACCCATCCATCCGTCCACCCATCCACCCACCCACCCACCCATCCATCCACCCATCCATCCACCCACCCATCTACCCACCCATCCATCCATCCATCCACCCATCCACCCACCATCCATCCATCCATCCACCATCCCACCCACCACCACCCACCACCATCTCCATCCATCCATCCATCCATCCATCCATCCACCTATTCACCCCCCCCCACTTACAAATGTGTTTTCAGTGCCTGATCTGTGCCTTGTGCTACTTGAAATGGGATAAAACCTGTTGGCTCCCCAAACCCTCACTCCCTGCCATAACTGCTGGCTCATGTTGTCCTCTTATAGGCTGTCACTGGCCAGCAGAACCCAGCCTCCCCATGGAGACAGCAGCCAGAAACCCCAGGTAATGGGTGCCCCAGGGAGCAGCCCCTCAGCGGGCTGATGGAGGACAGAGCATAAATACCTGGGTTCCTGTGCTTTCCCAGGTGAAGAATTCTGATGTCTGCTCCCATACCAGGCCCTGAGTTTCCCAGCTAGTGGGATGATGCTCCAGTTGCCATGGTGATAAGCAGCCCTGCCTTCTCTGCCCCATCCCTCACTCCCCAGCCTGTCATGGCTCCCAAACACATAGGGAAGTCAAATGGAGGACCCTGGGGTCCTAACAGTCCCTGCCCTCCTGGAACTGAGTGGAGTGGGGTGCAGGGGAGAGTCAACACACAGATGGTGGCATATATACTCAGGGAAGATATGTGCTGTGAAGAAAATGAAAAGGTGTGGTTGGACAAGTCCATTTCAGCTAAGATGGGTCAAGGAGGGCCTCTTTGAGGAGGTGATGTTTTGAACAATGACCTGAAAGAAGTGAGGAAGAAGCCACATGGATTTGTTGGGGATAAAAGTGTTCAAACAGAGGGGAAAGCAAGTGCCAAGGCCCTGGGGTAGGTGTGAGCTAAGATGTGCATGGAGAGGTGGGAAGTGGGGAGAGAGGTGGGAGAAAAGGTCCGAGAGGCAACAGAGGGCCTTTTGGGCCAGGGTGAGGACTTTGACTTTGGCTCTGAGTGAGACGGAGCCAGGGGCAGACGCTGACTGAGTGAAGGAGGGAAGACATGGGACCTCACAGGGCTGAGGGTTCTATGTGGGAAACTGACTCAAAGGATCCAGGGTGGAGGTGCCCATAGCTCTCTTTCCACATTTTCTGGAGGGGTGGGCTGTAGGCCCAAGGCTTCATGGTCAGAGAGAGGTGAGAGGTGCATGTGGGACTTGAACTTGGGGGCAATCTGATGTTGTAGCATGTGGTGGGAGCCTCCACTCAGGACTGATGTCAGATTCCAGCACAAAGTAATAAGTACGAGGGAGCCAGGCATGGTAGTGCACACCTGTAATACCAGCTATTCCAGAGGCAGAGGCAGGAGGATTATGAATTCTAGGCCAGCCTGGCTACATAGTGAGATGCTGTCTCAGAAGCAGGGGAGGGGAGGAAGCCCCCAAATCAACACCCTGCTCTCCCTGGCCCAAGTGAGACCTTCACCATGTTGCAGAAGGCCACTGTGCTCTTGGAGCTCCCAGCCTCTGTGTGTTGACCAAAATCTCTAGTGTTTATAAATCATCCAGTCTCCAGTATTCTGTTAAAGCAACAGAAACTAAGACAGGGAGTGACTGATGCCTGGCACAGGTGTCATGATGGGCCCTGCTGGGTTCCGGTGGGTCTTTGTTCTGAGCCCTCCGTCCTTCCTCCATGTCACCCACTCTTAACATGGGTGTGCTCCACCGCACTCCTGTGCCCTCTGCTGGTCTCCAGCATCTCTGCCAGGCTACCTCTGACGCCCAGTGCCTCCTGGCCGGGGTGAGGGGGTCCCAGGAGGCTCTTGGGAGAGGAGATCATGGCTTCTGACTGGGCTGGTGCCTTCAGAACCAAGAGGTGCTGAGAATGCTACCAAGGTCCTTGGGGACAGGCAGGTGGGCTCTGGTTCCTTCTCTCCAGGAGTCCAACTGCTCGGAGGAAGCAGAACAGGTGTAGGCCTTGGAGGAGACAGGAAGGGAGAGGAAACAGCAGGTGAGACCGGAGGGCAGGTGCTGCCCACAAGTCATCCTTCCCAAGCCACTGAGAGTGAGCTGATGTCAAAAAAAAGTAGTGTAGAAATAAGGGGACATTCATGGAGATCCCACTCCAGGTAGGCACTGCTGAATACTTAAGAAGTAACAACTCATGGATTCTTTGTATCCATTACCCAATGCAAATGTACTATTATATGGGATACAACAAAGATCTGCTTGCTTTTTTGTTGCTGTTCTTGGAGCACTGAGGGTTGAACCCAGGGCCTGGCACATGCCCTGCAAGCCCTCCACAAAGAGAGCCACGCACCTGGCCCTTTTATTCCAGCTGCTCTCGAAGTTGGGATTCTCCTTTCTCCACCTGCTGATTAGCTGGGATTAAAGATGTGAACTACCGTGCCCAGCTAAGATCTGCTTATCTTTCTCTGTGCTGCTGCCCATAAGGCTGACTTCTCTAAGCTGCATGGCTGGGTCCCCTCGCCTTTTGTGGCTGGTTGTCTTCTATCAGTGGAACCATAGCTCTCACTCTACCTTTCGCTAAAACTTGAAGCTTCTACTGGGTGGCCCTCTCCACATACTCCTCTCTTCTGCCTTGCGGGGGAGGTGTCTGTTTTTCTTGCTTACAGTTTGGGGGGCGGGTTGTAATAACTTCCTGCTCTTGCCAACCCCTTGGTGCTACACCATACCATACTGGTGTAGCCATACCCCGCTCTGTCTCTGCAAACGGACCGTGCCTTCCTTCCTTCCTTCCTTCCTTCCTTCCTTCCTTCCTTCCTTCCTTCCTTCCTTCCTTCCTTCCTTCCTTCCTTCCTCCCTCCCTTCCTCCTCCCTCCCTTCCTCCTTCCTCCTTCCTCCCTTCCTCCTTCCCTCCCTTCCTCCTTTCCTCCCTCCCTCCCTTCCTCACCTTCCTCACCTCTCTCTCTCTCCCTCTCTCCTTCCCTCCTTTCTTTCCCTTTCTTTTAGTGTGGGACTGGGATTTGAACTCAGGGATTAACATTTACAAAGCAGGCGCTCTACCCCTTGAATCACACCTCCAGTCCATTTTACTCTGGCCATATTGGAGATAGGGTCTCGTGAACTATTTTCCTGGGCTGGCCTGAACTGCGATCCTCCCAATCTCAGCCTCCCAAATAGCTAGGATTATAGGCATGAGCCACTGACACCCAGCAACTGGTAACCTGACCACTCCTAGCATCAGCCACGAATGTAAGGAATCTACCCTATGCCTGTCTCTGCAACATTACTTTCTCTGCTTTTATAGCAATTGCTTTATTGCTGGAGATGTAGTTCAGTGGTAGAGCACTTGCCTAGTGTACACATGGCCTAGGGTTCGATCCTCTCATGTTACAAAAATAAATAACTAAATAATAAGAAGTAAATTGCATTCACTGAGGCCTTTACTGATATATAGGCACATTTATGTATACATATATAATTGTATATCATTTATAGCTTTCTTGAAAAGTGATTCATATGCCATGTAATTTCCTCACTTTTCCCTCTACTTTTTTTTTTTTTTTTTTAACCACCTGATTCTGAAATAGTAATGGATTATAAGCCAATGTAAGGGATAAAGCTTTAGGACTGTTCTGGTCACTCTGATGAGTTGTAACATTACCCGTATTGTTTTATAAAAAGGTTATTTTAATTGGCAAATTCAAATTGTACATATTTACGTGTTTAAATATGTCTACATTGTGGAATAGCCAAATTGGACTAATTATCATTGCATTACTTCATATGCCTATAATTTTTTTTTGTGGGTGAGAATTATTAAAATCTGTTTCCTGGCTGGGTGTAGTGGTACATACCTGTCATCCCAGCCACTCAGGAGGTAGACATATGAGGACTGCAATACAAAGCCAGCTCTGGGCAAAAAAACTATAGCCCCTAGCTAAAAAACAAACTAAAAGGGCTAGGAGTGTGGTTCAAGTGGTAGAGTGCCTGCCTAGCAAGGCTGAAGCCCTGAGTTCAAATCCCAGTAATGCCAAAATATGAAACAAACAAACAAGGAAAGGAGATAAATCCAGCCTTTTAGAACCTTTCATTATGTTCTTAAGGTTTAATTGCCTCTATTTCTTTTAAGCATCAAGTAAAATTATATTCAGCAAATCTTCAAAAGTATCACAAAACCAGTTGGGAAGTCGAGATCAGGAGGATCGTGGTTCGAAGCCAGTCTGGACAAATAGTTTGTGAGATCCTATTTTAAAAAACCTAACACAAAAAAAGGGCTGGTGGAGTGGTGCAAGTGGTAGAGCGCCTGCCTAGCAAGCATAAAGCTCTGAGTTCAAACCCCAGTAACACCAAAACCAAAACCAAACAAACAAAAAACCAGGCTTATTCTCATAGAATAATTTGGAAAGTAAAGAAAAGGTAGTAGAAAAAAATCCTTAATTGTAGTGCTCAAAGATTATTTTGCAAGCGTATTTCCTTTGAAGACTTTTTTTCATAAGTAAAATATTTAAATTAAGCTTTAAATTAATTTTCATAATCTTTTAAATTAAATTTTTTAATCACACAAGCGCATCTCCTTGGGAAAAAAACAATTTAGAACCAGTCAGGCATGGTGACCCATTCCTTAGAATCCCAGCACTGGGGAGGGGGAGGCAGAAGGATCAAGTTCAAGGCCAGCCTGCATTGCCAGATCCTGTCAGGAGAAAAAAACTAAACTAAACCAAACCAAAACCTCAACAAACAACAATCAAAAGCCAAAGAATAAAACAAATACCAAGATCCCACATTCCTGAGTGAAGTCCAGAAAAGGCCTCCAGGGCCCTGAGGGTGAGGGACCCAGAGCTGGTGGAGGGGAAAGGAGGGGCACTGGAGGACTTACTGTCACCTCTGGAGGGCGAGGCTCAGGCTTCCCTCCCACGCAGGGCAAGGCCAGGTGGCCTCGAGGAACCTTGGAGACCTTGGGATGTGTCCCCTGGAATTTGGGGATGGAGGAAATTAGACCTTTGTTTCCAGGTGAGGATGGGGTAGAAGAAACTCATGGGGTGGGGACAGGGCTGGTGGAAGTGGCCTACTGGCCTCCCTTCCTTTTTTGCCAGGACAAAGACATCCAAGTGAGAAGTGGCAGGTGTCTCTGAAGGGGGTCAGCTGGAGGCTGTCCTGGCTCAGGCCCTCTTGGACGACAGGGCTATTTCTGATCTTAGCAGAGAGAGGCTGGAGGGGGTTGTGACACATGCAGGCCTGTTTCTCCTTCACAACTATAGCACCAGGCAGAAACTTCATCTCCTCCTACTCTGCTCACACCCACAGGGATCC